TTAAAAAAAAAAAAACAAAGCAAACCTTCCCTACCAAAACAAAAAATTGTCTTAGATTAATCCCCAAAAAACTGTCCGATTTTTGATACAAAAAACTGTCTAGATTAATCCTCCAAAATGTCCGATTTGTTGATTAATATGAGAGAAAACAACTAAGAAAATCAATAAATTTATAAATGATTAAACAACAAATAAAATTCTTTACCTCTGTGGATTTGGAGGAGGTTTCACAGATTTGACTCTGGTTTTGGATGATGAGAGAAATTCTTTACCTCTGTGCCAGAGCCACGCTAGTTGTAGAGCTCGAATTCAGCCACCGACGAAGTTAAAGAATTTTGGGGCGGTTCAGAGGGATTGAGATGGGTTTGTTGTGGCGGTTCAGAGGATGGAGGAAAAGAGAAGATGAAAAGTAGATGTAAAGAGAGAGAGAGAGAGATTCTGAGCGTGTGTGTCAAAATTTGAAAGAGGAGTGTGAGAGAGAGAGGATCTGTATTGACAAAGGGATCTGTATTGTGTGTGTTCAAAATTAGACGTTGTAAGCCATTGGATTGAATTCAATCTAATGGTCCATGTATTGACAAAGGGACAAAAGTCCTATCAGGAGTAAAAATCTAAGCTCCATGTCATATAGATATACTAGCGGTTTGCCCGTGCCTGAAGGCACGGTTGTAAATAATGTTAGGATTAAAAAAAAATAATGTTCGGATTAAATTCACAGAACTCTTCACAAAAACTCACTTTTACTTTATAATATATAGCTAGTTAGACAGATGTGCCTCATCAAAAGTGTAATTAACTCTTTTAAAAAAAAGGATAAGGAGAGATTCTCTCTAGGACTCATGCATCACAATGAACAACACATTCCAGAGACATGGTTTTCATTTTTCTTCATCTTCTCACCTCTAGATCCCAAATTCCTCATACATATATACACACACATTTGCAGAGATCAAAACCCACACTTTCTCTCTCTGTGCAAAAATGGCTTCAGTGATATACACACGTTTCTTTTTTGATTTCTCATTTTTAACACCTGTTGAAGTGTAACTTAACTGGTTTATGAGATGTAAGTAACCAATTCTTTTAAAATACCTGTTTCCTACCTCCCCGAATTTCCAAGATTCAAGTTCATGGTACCTCACTCCCCTGTTCCACAGAGTGCACAATAAGACATCTAAAAGCTTAACACTTTCTCAACATCCAGTTAACAGCAAGAATTTTAGGACAAAATTCCACTTACTTCTGAGCAAGGACAGGACCAGATTTCATACATCCGATATGCACCTTGGCTTTTTCCTGTATCTGCCAAAGTTTCTCCTAGTGTTGCTGTAAATTTACTACATCTTACCCAATGCAACAAAATAAATAAATAATTTTAGAGTTACAAACATATATAATTTCATTTTCAAGTAAAACTTGTGAATCAATCATATCAGTCGTAATTTGAATTAGAGGTCTATGAACATGGGCATCTGAAGTTTCTACCCCGATTGGGAATTTAAAAGTTGTAACACATGAGTGTCTTGCATCTATGTATTGGATTTTAGACCTTCATGTATGCATTTTATTTTTATATCAAGTACTAAAAACAAATTTCTTACCTATATATTCCCCCATGATTTTCTTTACACATGCCTCCAAAACAAACTTGAAAAGAATCATACCACTTGTGTATTTTTTTATTCCCTTTATTGAGTAGTTTTCCTTTCTTTTTCCTTTAAGCTTCTCATTTTCCTTTGCCCTTACCATTGCCTTTGAGAAAAAATATGAGAAACAAATAAATTTGATTAGTGGGCTTACCCCATGAACACAGAGGACATTGCAGTCCTATTCATTATGGAGCATAACACTGACATTTTTGTTTTGAGGAAACTAAACCTGTGTATATATAGAAATGCATTTGAAAGGTAAAAGAAAAATTATATTAAGGAATGTAGATTAAATAAAAAATGAGTATAGAGATTTAATATTACTGTTTCCTCTAACATATCATCCACCTGTAAAGAATAATACAAAAATATTTAATTATGAGAAAAATTATAAATAATAAGCAAGAAATTAAGCCTCGATTCATAAACTATAAACTAAACATACTTAACCAAAACTATGAATGTTGTCCATGATTTGAATTAAAATAAACTCTAAGGTTGTTGAAGAGGTTGAAACACCACAGACCTGCAGTGAAGAAATAACTCATTTAATAGTGCTATAAATAGATTGGATTTAAATAACAATGGGTTGTACAATGACTATTTGATTACTTAATTGTGCCATACGTTAAGTACAATCAAATAAAATGAAACCCAATTCTAATTTTTAACAATAAAATAAAAACAAAAGATTACAAAACATTACTTTTCATGTTAAAAATGAAACCCAATTCACACATTTATCAAAATCACCTAAATCATTTATCAGAACACTAATCATTTTTGAAACACTTAATTCTCATTTACGCTATCCAAGCCTATTGAAAGTTTCTTTAGCAAAGTTGAGAGCTCCATCCACTAAACAGCAAGTTTTAGACGGTAGAAGATAACTCGTTTATATAAAACACATTATCAGGAACTTAAATCTCATTATGTTTGAGACCCATTATCATACACATTAAACACATTATATTTGAAACACATTATCATAAACTGAAATCCCATTATATCTCATAAACTTCAATCTCATCCGATTTAGACTGTAAATCCATATAAATATAACAAATTGCTGATATAAATCTATATCAATAGATACTTAACATATCGATGGCTCCTACATTATTGTTAGGAATCAAACATATCGATGGCTTAAGCTTTCTTAAATTTTATTGAATTAAAAGTGGTTTAAATGGGGCTACAAACTAATAACCTACCAATCATTTTCTATGAATCAAATATCTCATTCAAGGAATTAATAAAAAATCACATAGATATGCAGACGCCAAACTAATAACCTACCAATCATGTTTCGCCACCAAATTTTACTAAAATTAAACAATTTATCAAAATGAATTGTGTTTCCAATGGAAACTACCAATAAAACACATCAATCACTTAGTACTTTGCTTCCAAGAATCTATTTATTAAAATTAACATATAACAAAAGATTTGCACATCTACACTGTTTTAAAATAATAATTTGACTCCAAACATTAAATAAAAATAATGAATCAATCTAATATGAGGACATTTTCAGGTATTGGTGACACAATCTAACTCCAAACAACATGAAAAGAAAACATTAATGAATCTTACCATTGTTCTTACAAATTAATAAATCCTAAAATTTTTAAATATGCCACATTACCGCAACCTAGCAAAGGGTGTAAATGAGTAGAAATATATGTAGTAGTAAAGTCAACCAATATATACTTCTGCACATAAAGTGGACAAATAGATAGAAAAGCAAACAAAAAATATATATAGAGAAAATGTTTAAGTAAGAACACAAATCAAATTCTTACCACAATGTTTCGATATGAAAGGTCTTAAGGAAGTTCACAATGCTTCAGACACAATGTTTCAATTACAAATTGTAAACATCAATAAAGCAATTAAATTGGACAACCTGTTATCAATATTATTGAGTAACAAACCTGCTGGAATTAAAGATTATTGAAACAAAAGATATTCACAAATTAGAGTAAAGATTATTGAAACAAAAGATGTTGAAATAGATGAGGTTTGAAGAGAGAGCAAGAGAGAAGTGGCATTACCTTGATGGTGGTCCGTTGAAGAGAGAGCGAGAGAGAAACGGGAAGAGATGATGTTGCAAAGCCGCTGAAATGGATTTCAAATGGGATGAGCTGCAACTTTGAACAGTGCAGTTTCGTTATTAAATTGAATTATAAACTAAATCAAACGTCTTGTCAAAGCTATCTAAGCCAAAATCATCACCATCGAAAATGATATAGACAAATGTCCCTTCAAAATTAAAAAACAGAGCTTTAAATAATCAAACTCCTCCAAAAATGCTAATAAGATGTGGGTGTTTCGCAAAAGAAACCAAAACTCAACATTTGAAACCAAAACTCCACTGCCATAATCACATTGTTGAAATAAAAGCTCCAAACATGTCATGATCAATTTAAAAAAGGCAACACCCAACTCACAACAAAAATAAATAGAAAGATCTGATTCTAAGGTTTGAAAAATGTGTTTTAGGAGAACAAATAAATAGAGGTATTTTAGGAGAACAAAAAAAACTATGTGATCATCGAATACCCACTTCACTAAATGATGATGAGATATTCATTCTATTTAAATACCCATTGCTTTGACATCCGCCAAAACCACTCACAGTAAAGCTACTGAGACTTCCACAGTACACTTTGGACAAAAAAAGATAAAGAAAACCAATAAAATAAAGCAAAACTTATGAAAAAAAGTGACCAAACTTATGGAAGAAAAGTGACCCGATGATTGAAGCAAATCATAAAAAATAAAAATAAAAAGTTCTAGCAGTACTATTTTTTATCAGGAGCTACATTATTGGCCACTGCTCCAAAGTTCCTTCCACTCCCAATTTTTCCACTACTTACCAATCCTATTTTGCTTCATTGCTCATATTCTCTTTTATGCAAATAGAAAGGGGGAATTTTTTTTAAATAAAAAATCAAGTGGCTAAAATAAAAATGAAATGAAGATAAAAATACAACAATGAATATATAAAACATGAGAGCAAAATAAAGAAAACATTTACTATATGAGCAATGAATAATTCTTCATGAGATGCAAAGCATGTTCACCTTAATTTATCGGTAACTTGATTACCAACAAAAATAGAAAAGAAACAAAAGAAATATTAAACTTACATTCAGAACTATAGGTTTAATGTTGAATGCCCTATCAAAAGACTCTGTTTTCCAAGCTGAAAACTTACTATATCACAAATAATTTTTAAGAGTTAATTAAAACAAACGTTGAAAAATTCTTTGATACACATGGTAGTTTTGGTTATAAAATAAACATTGAAAAATGTGTACCATGCACCATAATTCTAACGATTTGTGGCATTTAGTTATAAGATTTTGTGATGATCAAAATTATGATGAACTTGGTTATTAGACATTTTGTAGTGTTTCTGGTTATAACCCATGGTGGTTTAGGTTACGAAATTTTGTGATGTTTAATTATAAATTTAAGTGGCCTTAGTTATGAGGATTTATGATATTTTTTTTAAGATTATGAACTACTGTGATTAAAACTTTGGATGCATATCGTTAAAAAGCTTTTGGGGAGTATATAAATTTAATATGACTTATTGGGTCATTCTATCAAACACTTCCAAT